TTTCCTTCCTTACCTCTTTTGATTAGATCTATTTTTGCTTTTGCTTTATCAAAGATCAGGATTGCTACCCCTGCTTTTTTTACTTCAGCTGACGCATAATATATTCTGCTCCAGCCTTTTACCTTTACCCTGTATGTGTCACTCTTTTTCAAATGTGTTTCCTGTAAACAACATATTGTAGGATTATGGTTTTTAATCCATTCTGCAATCCGTTTCCATTTTATGGGAGAGTTCATCCCATTCACATTCACAGTTATGATTACTATCTGTGTCTTTTTCTCCATCCTTTTTCCCCCTTTTATGCTTTTCTTTCTCCTTTTTCCTTTCTCCCCTTCACTAGTGTTTTGCTTTTGACCACCACCTCCTTCAGTCCCTTCCCCCTTTTATTATCCCTTTCCCTTTTCTTCCCCTTTAGTCTTACTGCTGCTTCCCTCCCTTCTTTCCCCCCCTTTTCTTTCCCCCTCCTTTTCTTTCCCCTTTTCCCTCCTACTGCCTATAGGGCAAGTTAGATTTCTATAAACTGATTATATTATGCCCTTCTTGAGCCTAATCTGATGAGAGTAAGGTTCAAACAATGCTCCCCCCCTTCTTTCCCTCTGCTGTAATAGGATTTTGTGTCTTTTCCTGTAATGTAATTTACCCTTGTCTGCCTCCTCCTTTCTCAGTACCTTTTCTAAGATTAGATTGATCCACTTATTTGGATCCATTTAACCCACTTGATTAGATTTTTTTTTATCATTACATCAAAGTCAACTAATATCCACCCTCTTTATGTATACTCCTTTAACAAGGTGTAATAACAATACAGTTCTCAAGGGTTGCAAGTCTCATATTCCCTTGCAGGGGTTTAAACAGCCCCCCCCTTATTAACAACATATGTATCCTTCCTTCTGTCCCATTTACCTTTTTAAGTCCTTCTTGAGTCCTGTACTTGAAGATCAAATTTTTTGTTGAGCTCTGGTCTTTTTATCAGGAAAGTTTGGAAGTGTCCTATTTCGTTGAATATCTACCTCCTCCCTTGAAATATGACATTCATTTTTGCTGGGTAATTGATCCTTGGCTGCATTCCAAGCTCCTTTGTCTTATGGAATATCATGTTCCATGCCCTGCGTCTTTTAATGTAGAAGCTGCAAGGTCCTGTGTAATCCTGACTGTGGTTCCATGATATTTAAATTCTTTCTTTCTGGCTGCTTGCAGCACTTTCTCTTTCATTTGGTAATTTTGGAATTTTGCTGTTATATTTCTTGGTGTTGTCTATTTGGGATCTCTTTCAGGTGGTGATCGGTGGATTCTTTCAATGGTTATTTTCCCCTCTGGTTCTAGGACTTCTGGGCAGTTTTCCTTTATGATTTCCTGAAAGATACTGTCCAGGCTCTTTTTTCATCATGATTTTCAGGTAGTCCAATAATTTTTAAATTGTCTCTCCTGAGTCGATTTTCCAGGTCGGTTGTTTTACTGATGAGGTATTTTACATTTTCATCATTTTTTCATTTTTTTGTTTCTGTTTGACTGATTCTTGCTCTCTCATAGAGACATTAGTTTCCATTTGTCCAATTCTAGTTTTTAACAGATTGTTTTCTTCTGTTAGTTTTTGTACTTCCTTCTTCAACTGGCCAATTGTGTTTTTTAGGGACTTGTTTCCTTCAGCATACTCTTCTGTTAGATTTTGTACTTCCTTCTTCAACTGGCCAATTGTGTTTTTTAGGGACTTGTTTTCTTCAGTGTACTCTTCTGTTAGTTTTTGTCCTTCCTTCTTCAATTGGCCAATTGTGTTTTTTAGGGACTTGTTTTCTTCAGTGTATTTTTTTTCCAACTGGCCAATTGTATTTTTGAAGGACTCTTTTACCTCTCTCATTTGACTATTAAAATCCTTCTTGAGCTCTTCTAAGAAGGCTTTTTGGGCTTCAGACCAGTTCATATTCCCTTTTGTTGTTGCAGATGTGGGTTTGTTGACAATGTTGTCCTCTTCAGAATTTCTGTCTTGATCTTCACTCTTCTCATAATATGAATCTATGGTACGTTTCTTTTTACTCATGGTGTTTCTTTATTCCCTGGCCTTTAAAGAGATTGAGCTCTCCTGCTGGGGCACAGAGGGTACTGACCCAAGCTTCTTGTGTTGGGAGCCTAGGTCTTGGTCACTGGCTTTGTGTTCTGGGGCCTCTTATGCTGGGAATTGGAGGCTGTAGGTTTCTGGCAGCTTACCTTGTGTTGGGCTGGAATCAGCAAGGCTGGAACTTTCAGGCAATTCTAGGTTGCCTGCTTTTCCTTTCCTTTAGCTTTCTTCAGCTCCTTTTAGATGGCTGCTGCAGGATGTTTATCTGCCTGGGGCCCCCTGCAGTGTTGTCTCCCTCATTTCTGCTAATGCACGGGAGATTCCTTTGCGGTGGATTGCCGAGACTCCTGGTGGTTTTCTGAGCTGGTTTCCACCAGTTCCCCCGCCCTCATTGAGGCACTCGGAGGTCCAGGTGTTGGTGTTTGCCTGCTCTACCACCTGGGCTTCAGGATCTCTTCACAATTGGGGGCTTCAGGGCTCCTACAGCTCACCTGGTGTTGGGTTGGAATCAGCAAGGTCGGGGCTTTAGGAAGCCTTTAGGTTGTTTTCTTCACCTCCTTTCAGATGAATGCCGCAGGGTACTTATCCGCCTGGGGCCCCTTGTTTTTGCTGAGGCACTGGGAGACCCGTTTACTGGGCTACTGCACTGCTGCTCTTTGTCTTTCTTCTAGTTCAGGTGTTCCAGGTTTTTTTTCTTTTTCTGGGGTGATATTTTCTGGGTTTTCAGAGGCTGATAGGGGAGAGTAAGAGCGACTACCTTTTCACTCCGCCATGTTGGCTCCCAGAAGCAGAAGTCTTTTTCCACTTTTTTTGGGAGGCAAGTAGGGTTAAATGACTTGCCCAGGGTCACACAGCTACTAAGTGTCTGAGGCTGGATTTGAATTCAGGTCCTCCTGACTCTAGAGCCAATGCTCTAGCTACTGTGCCACCTAGCTGCCCTAAACCTTTGGTATTATAAGGGATTGCTTGATAAGTAAGAGATGGAGGAGGGTTACACTCAAAAATGTAAGACATAAAAATAAAAGGGAGCAATAAAAATAAGATATTTTTTAAAAAGTTGCTAAGATGTGCCACTTTGATCAGACTGCTGAATTATTTCTTCTCATATTTTCATTGAGGGTGCCTTTAATGTGCCTGTGTAGATTATTCTCAAAATGATTTTAGGCCAATAAGGAAGGATTTAGATAGACTAGTGGCTATCAGTGTCTAGGTGGGGTTGTGTTTTTTTTTGGGGGGGTAAACACTATCTCTGATTATTTGTATTCTTTTGAGTTTCCCCCTCCTTTGAGATATCTTGAGAACAGATTCCCATGTGCCTTTAAAATGGTATCACTCTATGAGCACAGATTTCTTCTGTATGAAGGCCCAATTGCACTTCCTTAATCAAACTGCTGAAGGGTCTCTGCCACATCTTCAAATAGCATACTGAATACAGAGGGGAGTACAGTCCAAGAGTAGGAGTTCCACTATTATTGTGACAACAGCTCATAAAAATGTTGGCCCATTTGTTTTAACTTCACCTCTTTGTGTTGTTTTTTCAGTTCTTGGTATAAGCTGGTTTACCTGGATCTCATCCCTAGTTCTCTTTAGGCTTCAGGACGTGAAGATGTAAAGGTTCATAGCTATATGTTTGGATAGCTCACAGGCATTCTTTAAAGAAGTGAATAAGTGAGTTCATTATATAACCAAAGGAAATAAGAAACATCAATACATCATATATTAGGTCATCTTTTCTTGAACTACCCAGGGCAAGCATGAAGAAACAGACACAGCTAGATAGCCCATTAGGCATGTAATCAAGATGACTCAAGCTCAAATATTGCCTGAGATTCTTACTTACATGACCCTAGGCATATCACTTAATTGCTTTCAGCCTCAGTTTCCTTATCTGTAAAATACCTATGATCCTATAAAGACCATGATGAAGATTACTACAGCTTATACAACAGCATCCTTTGCAAAGGAGTGAGTAGAAATGTTCTATAAAGAATGTAATAAGACACTCTACTCTAATTAACACATACTTTTGTTCTTGATGATGTCAATGCAGAATGGTGGAAACCATGCTTCAAAATTTGGTTCAGTATCCATGAATATAAACCTAAAAGCTTAGAGACTATGTAGAAGCCTCAAATACTTTCTTAAAAAAAAACAGTAGTGGGGGGAAAAACCATAAGTCACAAAGATTGTGAAGATATAAGGTAATACATGTGAAAATATTTTGGAAAGCAAGATTCAATTAAAATGAAAGATATTATTAACTAAAAATTTCTACAAAAGGAACCAATGATTTTAGTTTAGGAATAAAAGGCATTTTTCTATAGGCTTTATCTACCAGTAGAAAAATAAAAAGCAACAATTTTCTACTATGCCTTTTATGAAATTACATAATTATGATTACTTTAATATCTTTGTTAAGGTTCCATTACCAGTAATAGTAAACAACTATCCATTTAACAAAAGTCAGATGTAAGTTCTTTGCTCTAATTTGTAAAATCTTACCTGATTTCTCTGACAAAGGAAAAAGTCTGGCCAAGAAAAGCTGAATCCTTCCACAGAACACCGTATTCTGGGACTTTGATAATCTTCTTAGGAGATCTGAAACAATATATAGAAATGAAAGCAAAATAGAAACAAGGGAGGACCTTGCATTTATCACAACCATACCCAAGTGCCTTAACTATATGCTTGAAGATATTCTTCCATAAGCAGTAGTTCTCCAAATGTGGTCTGTAAGGTCCCCCTACTTATTCTTATCTAAAATAGAATGGAATTTAGCTTTGATTAAGATATAATTTATTAGTAATCAATGGTGTCATCTCATTAATTTTGTCATTTATTTAACAAGATTATATGAAAAGCATTATGATCAGTATATACACAGAAAACTAAGATACAGTCCCTGTTCTCAAAGTCATTTCTCTTTTTCTGTTTCTATTTATTGCAGGAACAAGGATTGGAGTAAACAGTCTGTGAAACGCTTTTCTCATGTACTAAAAATGTTTGACAACAACTACCCTAAGGGAATTACTCTAAGTCTCCTGAAATCTTAAGGAAGTCAAAAATATTTTTAACAAACAAAAAGCTGTATTATAACAATAATAATAGTTAAAGCTGATATTTTATATAGTGCTTTAACTATATGACTCTCAAAACAACACTATAAGATAAGTATTATTACTCCCATTTAATAGAAGCTCAGAAAGAGTAACTGACTCATTTATGGTCACAAAGGCAGTATGGAAATAAAATTCAAACTCAGGTCTTTCCTGACTCCAATTCTAGTACTCTTTCCATTATACCTTGTTGTCTAGAAGTAAAACTATACCACATTTTGCATGTCATTAGCCAAATTTTCAGTGTAAATGCTAAGATTCTTGTTTCTTGTATTAAATAACTCCCACAAGTCTAAACGTAATCATAAAAAAGATAACATTTCTACTTTTAGATGTTTTTTACTTACCATTGCACATGCGCAATAAATAGTTTTTTCCAGCAGAATAGAATGTATTCTGTAAATAAAAAAATTTCTTATTACATGGAATTTGTAGCATGTTCTGTTATCTTTACAGTATTCTTCCATAAATGCAGCAAAAGTAGGAAATCTAGTAACAAACTAAGTTTGCTCTTCAATTGCCAAAATCTTAATTTCACAAATGCAAGAGAAATGAATACCTGATACTTAACAAGTGCTTCATTTAACTGCTTTTGCATGATCAAATTTCCTATTTCAGCTTTCTCTAGGGATATGATTCTCACATGACTCTCTAAGAATCTAAGAGTAATGCAAGTTATTTCAGGGCACCCAGGACAATTTACACAGGGATAATCCTTTCAACCACTAGCAAACATGTGATCTTTTGTCTCAAAGAGGTATAGGGAGAATTACATGATGTACTGTTATAAATACTGGAGGATTTCCATAAAGATACATAAGAGGGAAAACAGAGTTAACAAAAAAGAGAAACAAACTTACTGATTTCCAAGTAGCAACATTTTTCTCCACAAAGGTGAAGATTGTATCACATTGATCCAAAGGAAGACAATCCAAAACATCTCCCAATAGTACAAAAGGTGTAGATGCTGTACAAATACCTTTAAGTGGGGGCATATTTCAATTAGAAAGTTTAGAGAATTGCATGTTCATATAATCTATGAAGATTAATGCAGAATTTTAAATAACAGACACTTAAAATACCTTTTAAAAAAGAGCACAAGGAGATTTACTTCAATTTAAGAATAATGGTGATCAGATTCCATGCCATTTCTCAGCCATCTCTCTTTCTCTTATTCCCACTTTATCTGTTCCTTTCCCCCATTAGAAAGCAAGTTCCCTGAGAACAGAGACTACCTTGGAAACACAAGAATGTGTCTATCCCTAGCACCTGGGGTGCTCTCATTCTCTCTCTTCTTTCAGTATCTTTCTCATGATGTTATCCTTTAAAGTCTACGCTATTAAAAATCTTTGATGAACAAACATTATTTAGTAGGAAAACTTTTTTCCCGGGAAACCATACTAGTTATATATACAAGGGAATTCAGTTGAGTCCAATTTTAAGTCCCAGCTCTACCACTTACTAATTCTATAGTCCTGCAGCAAACAACTTAATCTCAGTTTATTTATCTGTAAAATGAAGATTAATTTTTATCTATCCACACAATGGACACATATGTGTACATGCATGGATGCATGGATGTTATGTGTGCCCACACATGAGAACAATATTTTGAACTGAACTTGTGAGGAAACTGCTTCTACCAGTACACACTGGCACTGCCCTGAAATTTAAATCTTAAAGAGTTGCTTTGGACATTTAGAAGTCAAGTGACATGCTAAGGATCCTATAGCCCATGCATTACAGGTAGGACTTGTACACAGGTCTTCCTGACTCTTAGGCTGATTCTCTCACTATCCACCAAACAAGGGTGTTGTGAATCTACCAACACTATATAAACATGAACTGCTCTTCCCTTTAACCACCTATCAAAAAGTACTTATGTAGCATTTCCTATCTGTTTTATACTGTGCTAGAGAGGCACTATAGTATAAGAAAAAGAATGATGGCCTTAGAGTTAGGAGATCTGGATTCTTGTTCCTGATCCAGCACTTATTAGCTATGTAAATGTGAGTTATGAATTATATAAATGTGAGTTATTATAAGGCAGTATGGGAAGAAACAGAAAATGTGTAAGATATGGTTATCCCTACCCTTGAAAAGTTTACAATCCAGCTGGGAAGAAAAGTTCAACATGCCAGAATAGAATAGGGAACAAAAAGAAGGCAATAAGTGATATTATATAATTGATGAATTAATTGCAAACTGATGGTGCTATAAGAATCGAAAGAAGAGATACACTATTTTTTTTTTTGCTTTTTGGTGAGGCAGTTGGGGTTGACTGACTTGCCCAGGGTCACACCACTAGTTAAGTGTCTGAGGCTGGATTTGAACTGAGGTCCTCCTGACTCCAAGGCCAGAGCTCTATTCAGAGATATACTAATTTAACACCTATATATGAAACCATCAAAAAATTAGACATTATCATGAACTCTGAAAAATGTTATACAAGTACTGCTTTTTTGCCAAGTAAAAAATTTTTGCCTTGAAATTACAACTAAATTATAAAATCTAAGTTCTCAAGCCTTGACAAACTCAAGAAATTAATTATAAGAGCTGACTTGGAAGAACTGCAAATAAAAAAAAATTAATAGGTCCTTTCCCCCACAAAGGCCACATGAATACTAAAGTAAGCATTTACTTATTATTATCCTTTCCTACTTATATGACATAAATTGAACCTGATGATTACACTAATCAAATCAAATCAAGAAGCATTTATTAAATTCTACTATGTGCCAAGTAACAATTCCTGCTCTATAGCTCACAGTCTAATGGGAAATACAACCTTTGAACAACTGTACACAAAAAAAAAGAAATAGGATAAATTGGAGGTAATTTTAGAGGGAAGGCACTAGCACTAAGAGGGGATCAGAAAAGGCTTCTTTCAGACGGTGTGATTTTTAGCTGGGTGGGACCTAAAAGAAGTCAGGTAACATCTGGATAGACAGTAAATATTTTTTTAATAAACACTGTTAAAAACAGAAAATACTAACTACACTTAATATCACAAATATAGTTTGCTGCTTTCGTTAAATACTACCTTTCCCTACAAATACTGCAATTCTTCAATGACCACATTTAACCAGTTAAAAACACGAATACTGGGGAGTTAAACTCCTGTGAGAGGTGTTTAATCCAATTCAAAAATGGGTTATTGAATGACTACTATTCCACAAACATTTGTCAAGGACCTATAATATACAAAACACCATTCTAAGTGCCAGGGGCATAAAAATATGAAAATGATATAGTCCTAATCCTCAGAGAGATTACATTTAATTGGAATGGATACAGACACACAGATAGATACAATACAAGGTTTGGTATGACAGACACAAAGGAGAGATCTAGGAAAAGTCTTCTAGGAAAATTTGAGGAGGAAGAAACAACTTTTGGTGAGCAAGGAGGGAATCAAGAAAAGCTTCACAGATGATAAAGAAGTACATTTCAAACATGGAGAACAGCTTAATAAATTCATAAAGGTTAGGGATGGAATGTTGTTGGAGAATAAAAGCATTCAAGTTTGGCAAAAACAGACTGTGAATGAATGAATGGAAAAACTTTTATTCAGTGCCTATTATATGCCAAGCACTGTACCAAGTGCTCAAAATGTAAATAAAAAGGAAAAAAAGAGTTGAAGCATGGTGTCATGGATAAGAAGGGCAGGCCCTGAAGCTAGGAAGACTTAGGTTCAAGTCCCACCTTCTGACATATATGGCTATGTGACCCAGGAAAAATCACTTAATCTACCAATTCTTTAGACCACTCTCTAATACTAGAAAGTTGCAAAAAAAAGCATTAATCTGCATTGCTAGAGGAATGTTTCTTCATTTAGGAGTTTTCTACACTTATCAATTAACAAAAGCACTAAGTATTGTTCAAGGTATCTCCCAAAAGTTCCCAAACTGGACAATACTGCCCCCTGGGGGGTGCTGGAATGATGGGGTAGGACAGTAGTAGCCTCAGGTACAATTGGGGGGCATTGAAGAAAAATAAGGTGGGATGTGGAAGCATAAGGAAAGAAAAGAAGAAAATTTTGAAAAACCATACATATGTGCTTTATCTGTTGCGTAACAGAGTTAAAGTCATAGTGATAACATTATTTTCCAAATAAACACACAAAATACAAGTTATAACTGATCAGTGGTCAAGTCTGTGTTGCAAGTGTTGGCAGGTAAGCACATTGCACACTGTCAGCAAGTCCAGCATGCACGGGCAGGAATATGTACGTGTAATAACTTGTCTACAATACAATACTATATGGTTATACGACACAATATTATGCCATCAAAATATCAATTCAGGAAAAAACCCCACAAATTTACAACAAATGGTATTAGATCAACATTATTCTCCAAGGGAAAAAGGCAGAGTTGATTTTATCCTAGTTCCAAAACTGAAGGGCAAAAATGTGAAAAATTAGGCTGGGAAAAAAAGGTTGAAATCAGAACAAAGAGGTTCTGAGCATCGAGACATGGAGTTTTATTTGCGCTAGAGTGAAGACAACAGCATCATCATCATCACGTTTACATAGTTATCTAAGGTTTGCAAAGCATTAGACATATCTTATCTCACTTGACCTTCACAATAAACCTAACAGGTAGGTGCTATTATTATCCCAATCTTACAGATGAGGAAACAAAAGCTGAGAGGTTACATGAACTGCCCAGGGTCACTTGGCTAGAAAGAGTCAGAAGAATCAGAACTCAGGTTTTCCTGATCCAAGTCTAGTACTCTAAACACTTTGCCCCCTAATTGCCCCAAATTTATGTTATATAATGTCAACCGGGCTCTCACTGATGTTAGGCAATCCTTTTATGTTTCCCTAATTAACTCATTCTCAAACTCATCACAATAGCTCTTCCAAACTTTTTCATCCTTTCAGAAAGTTCCCAGGCTGCTACATGCTTAAATGAGAATCGTGCTTTGTAATTACTGAAAAAAACTTAAGATGTTCACCAATAGCTCCCCTTTTTCCTCTCCTCTCCATCTCACATCACCCAGATGCTGCTATCATTCTCTTCCTTCACCTGTCTCATATGAAGAGGCGGCTCTTCTCCTTATCCAGGTTTATCCCTCTAAGAGGTACAAGTGATCTCATTCCATCCCCTCTTCTTCCAACAGACTGCCTCCTCTATCATTCCCATTCTCTCACTTATCTTCAACCTCTCCCTGTCTGTCTACAAACATGTCCATATCTCCCCAATCCTCCAAAAACCTTCACTTGATCCTTCTATCCCTGCTAGCTATCATCTGTATCTCTTTTTTGGGGCAAAATTTCAAGGACATCTTCAACGGATGCTTCCATTTCTTTTCTTCTCACTTCTCTA